GTGTGTTAGCTTTCATTAATAGAGGGATTGAGTTCAAGAGCCGTGAACTTATGCTCCAGCTATACAAAAGCCTGGTTCGGCCACATCTGGAGTATTCTGTCCAGTTCTGGTCACCTCATTACAGGAAAGATGTGGAAGCGTTAGAAAAGGTGCCGAGGAGATTTACCAGGATGTTGCCTGGAATGGAGGGAAGGTCTTACGAGGAAAGGTTGAGAAAGCTAGGGCTTTTCTCTTTAGAATGACGAAGGATGAGAGGTGACTTGATAGAGGTATACAAAATGATCAGAGGTATAGATAGAACAGACAGCCAGAGACTTTTTCCTAGGGTGGAGGTAGCTTTTACGAGGGGACATAGTTTTAAAGTGAAAGGAGGTAGATATCGGGGAGATGTCAGAGGTAGGTTCTTTACTCAGAGAGTGGTAGGGGCGTGGAATGCATTGCCGGAGAGGGTAGTGGAGTCGGCCTCATTAGGGGCATTTAAGCGGCTATTAGATAGGCATATGGATGATAGTTTAAGGTAGCGGTGGAGGTTAGATAGACCTTAGGTTTAGGGTAAAAGTTTGGCACAACATCGTGGGCCAAAGGGCCTGTACTGTGCTGTACTGTTCTATGTTCTATGTTCTTCTATGTTCAGTTGTTGGTAAGATTTTGGAATCCATTTTGAAGGATGAGATTTCTGAATACTTGGAAGTGTATGGTAAAATAGGGTACAGTCAGTATGGCTTCATCAAGGGGAGATCATGCCTGACAAATCTGTTAGAATTATTTGAGAAGGTAACAAGCAGGTTAAACCAAGGAGAACCAATGCATGTTATCTACGTGGACATCTAGAAGGCCTTTGATAAGGTGCCGCACAGGAGGCTGCTGAGTAAGATAAGGGCCCATGGTGTTAGAGGCAAGGTGCCAGCATGGATAGAGGGTTGGCTGTCTGACAGAAAGCAGAGAGTGGGGATAAAGGGTCCTTCTCAGGATGGCAGCTGGTGACCTGTGGTGTTCCACAAGGGTTGGACCCACAACTTTACACTTTATACATTAATGATCCAGATGAAGGAACTGAAGGCATTCTGGCTAAGGTTGCTAATGATAGGTGGAGGGACAAGTAGTATTAAGGAGGCGGGTGGGTGCAGAAGCACTTAGACAGTTTAGGACAGCGGGAATGTGGGAAAGTGTGAGGTCATGCACTCTCGTAGGAAGGATAGAGGCATAGACTACATTCTAAATGGGGAGAAAATGCAGTAATCTGAAGTGCAAAGGGACTTGGGAGTCCTAATCCAGGATTCTCCTAAAGTAAACTTAGTAAACTAAGTTGAGTTGGTAATTAGGAATGTAAATACAATATTGGCATTAATTTTGAAAAGACAAGAGTATAAAAGCCAGGATAAACTTCTGAGGGTTTATAAAGCTCTAGTTGGACCACATTTAGAGTATTGTGAGCAATTTTGAGCCCCATATCTCAGGAAGGATGTATTGGCCCTGGAGCGGGTCCAGAGGAGGTTCACAAGAATGATCCCTGGAATGGAAAGCTTAACATACGAAGAATGTTTGAGGACTCTGGGTCTATGCTCGGTGGAGTTTAGAAGGATGAGCGGGTGGGGGGCCTAATTGAAACTTGCAGAATACTAAACAGCCTGAACAGAGTGGACCTTGGGAAGATGTTTCCATTGGTAGGAGACAATGGACCTGAGGGCACAGCCTTAGAGTAAGGGGAAGACCCTTTAGTACAGAGATAAAAGGAAACTTCTTCAGCCAGAGAGTGGTGAATCTATGGAATTCATTGTCACAGAAGACTGTGGAGGCCAGATCATTGAGTATATTTAAGACAGAGATAGATCGGCTCTTAACTGTCAGGGGGATCAAGAGTTATGGGAAGACAGCCAGAGAATGGGATTGAGAAACTTATCAGCCATGATTGAATGGTGGAGCAGACTCGATGGGCTGAATGGCCTAATTTCTGCTCCTATGTCTTATGGTCTCATGGCCTAAAATGGAATTAAAACAAAGTTGCTGGAAAAGCTCAGCAGATTTGGCAGCATCTGTGAAGGAAAAAACAGAGTTAACGTTCCAGGTCCAGTGACCCTTCCTCAGAACTGAAATGAATGTTGGCCTTTATTTCAATGGCGTATAAAAGTAGAGAGGTTTTGTTAGATCCGTACAAGACTGTAGTCAGATCACACCTGGAATAGTGTGAATGATTTGGTCCCCTTATCCAAGGAAAGGTATAACAGCATTGGAGGCAGTCCAGAGATGGCTGATACCAGGTAGAGAGGGACTGTCTTCTTTGGAGATGTTGAGCGGTTGTAGTCATTGGAATATAGAAGAATGAGAAGCAACCTTATTGAAACATACACAGATTGGAAAAGTTGTTTCCCCTTGGGGAGAGTCTCGGATCAGAGCGTACAATCTCAGAATAAGGGGTCACACATTTAACACAGTAGCGAGGAGGAATTTCTTCTCTCAGAAGGCTATAAATTTCTGGTATACTTTTCCATAGACAGCCGTCAAGGTTGGGTCATTAAGATTGTCAGGGCTGAGTTAGACAGTTCATTAATCAGTAAGGGAATCAAGGATGATCGTGAATAGCTGGGAAAGAGTTGAGGATTATCAGATCAGCTATGATCTCATTGAATAGCAGAGAAAACTATGGGCTAAATGGAGTACTCTTGCTCCTATGTCTTATGGTCTGATTCATCCACTTATCAGGTTCTCAAACCTGCTTTGAAACTCCATTCCCCATATTTTAATTTATTTCCCTTGAGATTTGAACCCTTCACCATGAATCTATACCCAATACACTCCTCGCGCATAATATTGATCCCCTGCTATTTTGACAAGTATAGTTCCTATCATCTTATTCACACAAGCACCATTATATCAAGAATTAAGTACTTACTCTGGCAGTTTGGATATCAATTTTAAACTTGCATTACAGATATTGTCAGAACCACAGTCCTTCTGAAATTGGAGCTGAAAGAGAAAACAAAGTCTAGATGTAAACATTTCCCACACCTTATCAGGGGTTCTTCAACTTGTTGGAGTTTTTTGAGAATATGCCTATTCAAATTGATAAAGAGGAGTCAATGGACATAGTATGCGTGGATTTTCAGAAGGTCCCCATAAGGAGATTGGTTAGTAAAATTAAAGCACCTTGAATAGGAATGGCATGGATTAAGGATTGGTTAACAGGTAGAACAAGAGAGGTAGGGAAAAAGGGGACCATTCTTATTTTGGCAGGCGTGAATAGTGGAGAACACCTTAGGATCAGTACTCAGGTCCCAGCTGTTCACAATATATATCAATGATTTGGACATGGGGATTAATGTAATATTTCCAAATTTATAGCTGATGTAAAGCTAAGCAGGAATATATGTTGCAAGGAAGATGTTAAACAACTTCAATAGGATATAGACAAGCTTAGTGAGTAGGTAATTCCATCTGCCATGGAATATAATGTGGAAAAATGTGATGTTATTCACTTTAGTAGGAGGTACAGTTGTATGAAGTATTTCTTAAGGGGTCAGAAGTTGGTAAATGTAGATATAGAAAGAGACTTGGGTATCTTTGCTGATCAGTCTCTGAAGGCTAACATGCAGGTGCAGCAATAGAAGGATAATGGAATTTAGCCTTTATTACATGAGGATTTGAGAACAGGCGTTAGTGAGGTCTTCTTTCAGTTGTATAGGAACTTGGTTACACCATATCTGAAGAACTGTGTGCAGATTGGT